TTTTTTTCTGTATCACAAATGCAGAGAGTTCAAAAGTGCTACACCGAGAGGAATTTTGTGGGGAGAAATAGGAGAGTTACTTCCTGCCTGCCCCTACCACAGGGAAGGAATTCTGTCAAAAAGTGGACAGGGACAATTGATTGCCATATGACTGGTGCCTCAACCCTTCTGCCTTTTTTTTTTGTCCTCAGTAAATGTGTTCTATTCCTCTTCTCTAGTTTTTAATAATATTTCCAAAGCAGAACATAAACCAAATGTTCTTTGAGTTCAAGCCAAACTTTTTGACTCCATAGTGTTTGAGTTAGAAATGAAACCAAATATATTTGCCATCCACAATCAGTAACTATTGCCCAAAAGCTCCCTTTTCAGGAAGATATGGCCAGCATATATGGAATCTCATATTCTTCCCATGTTTGAAATTAAAGTCACATAAGAATAATATATGGATGGAGCTCCACATTTTGTTTTATAGTTCAGGCCAGAAGAGATGGAGGGAATAAAAGAATAAACTGTTCTACCCGGTGTGATTCCTCCTGAGTCCTCGTAGAGATTTCCTTTCACTAACGGCTGCAGCAGTCATTGCTGCTAAGGTAGTTTTTATAGTTTGTAGCTGCTCTGTTTGCAGTGCCCTGCTGAAATGCTTCATGTAGAGGGTGAGAAGTCCATGGGCACGAATCTCTCAGGAATATCAGAGGGCTATATTAGGTCTTGGTCCATGGTTCTGTATTGTCCTGACTTTTCTGCAAAGCATTTTTTTCTCCTGAAGAGTCTTGAGCCAGAAACTGCATGTCAGCTGCATATTGCAATACCTGATTTCTTTCACTTGTTGAAGTAGGGAATGTCTTAGTCTTCAGCTAAATTTGGCTATCTGATTTGTGCACACAGGAGTTTTATATCCAAGTACCATGAAGGATAATTGTGACATTGAGTAATGATGTTTTTTTAGTGTGCCTTAATATCAGATACTTAACAGTTTGCCTCACAGCTTCCAAAAAGTTATGCTCAAAAATGCACCTAGGTCTTATAAGTCATAACATTCACATTTTAGCAACTAAATTAGTGTGGTATATCTGTTGATATTAATTAGTATGGAGCCCACCTTTAAAAATTTCAGAAAATGAATGAGATACACTTAAAAAAATAAAGTGGGAAAATGTTTTACTTGTGGATATGCCAGAGGGCTAAACTACAAGAAGAGAGAGCATATATGTAAAGAAAATTTCACTTATGAATGCTTCAGACTGAGAGTACTTAAGACAACATATATTTTTGCACGATTTTTGTTTATACCCTCTCATTAATGCCAGCTGTTTACAAACATAGTATGTAATCAGAATTGCCTTTGTCTTAGATATTTCTGCTGCAGGAAAAATGTCTCTCGGGTGTCCAAAACTGTATAAAATAGCCCCCCTTCAGGATTCCAAATCTGTCATTTCCTACAGCACAGTGGGATTTTATCGGAAACTGGTAAAATCATTAAGTTGTCAGTCCTGAGATATTGCAGAATGACAGACTAGAAAGCCTCATAATGCAACAAGGTAACTGTAGAGTAATGCTTAAGTAACAAGCAGGAACATTTGACTAGCATTAGAAAATAAATTGTATGAACTCTGGTCCAAGTAAAATATATTCTCAAATATCTAGCCCTTCAGCTGGGTTTGCAACTTGGCTTTCACAGTGCATAGCGATGTAAGTTAGGGAGATTACACTGATTGAGCTAAGAACAAAAAACTCATTTCATTTTTTGTTGTTGAAACTCTGAAGGAAAATATGTACACATATGATGGCATACAGACCAGTCAGCTTATTATTCTTTCTGTGAATTGTTTCATTTATACAGGGCACGTAATCTACTTTGGAACTGCAGACTGATGTTTCGCAGGAGAAGCAGTTTTCTTATTATGTATGGAAAGAAATTCAAGATAAGCTTTTATTTAAAAAAAAAAAAAAAACAAATTGTACAATTTAGACACACTAGAACGTGATTTAGGGCTGAGAGCTATGAATGTGTTTGGTCACTACAATGTGTCAGCTTGCACTATGTATTTGGAAATACAATGGAGAATCTGTGGGGATTCCAACAAGATGTTGTTAGTGAACTGAGATGCAGGCAGGAGAAAAAAACTTTGCACTGTAATGACATCCTGATAGCTATTGCTGTTTGCTCAGCTCCTGTAGAGTAACCTAAACCAAAGTAGAAATCAAGTCTTTTTGGAAAGAAACGTTTGATTTCAATTTGCCGTAGAACTGTACCACACATCTAGTGGAAACATGAGGAGCTGATATGTACAACCTGGAGATTATGTTTATTTTTCTGAAAATTTGATTTAACTAACCTTCAGGACTTTTTTCACAGTGCATCTGTTATTAATAAATCACCATGAGGAAAATTCTTTGCTAAATGAGGAATAAAATAAAAACTCCTTTTTAAATTAGTAGGAGTTATTTCATGGTTTTAGTGAAAGCTTTTTTAAGAATTTTAGTACAGAAATTAGAAAATAAAAATGCCATGATTTGCTTTGGTGTAAATAACATGTAAAAAGATGGCTCCATTGTCTAGGGATTGATGGCTTTGAGATATCAGTAAATTAAAGAGGAAAACTGCTTTAAGTGTTGATGATGCCCAACACTTCTCTCTCTTTGGTCTCTCTGACCAAGAGATGTCCACATGTTTTGCCATTATTGATGTAGTCCACTTGGGTTATTATTTTTACTAATAAGTTTGCACACCCAGCTTTTGCACAGCACTTTTCATCCAGTTCAGACAATGTGATTAGTGTCGTGGTCAAGCCCCTGGAGGAATACCCTTTGTGTTTGGAGGGAGCAACTCTCTGTTCAGATCAAAAGTGGGATATAATATTCAGCCAAAAGAACTGCAGCTTCAGGGAGGAAAGCAAACAAATGTGGAGGAATCCAAAGCTAAAAAGTTTGCATTTCACTGACTCTGTATGAGCTTGTCAATTAACTCCTGCTCCATTACTATCCGCATCTCACTGTTCACTGTGGTGTTGCAGAAGGGAGTTGGTCAGCATCTCTGAAGCACCTTTTGATACTGAGCGACATAATGTACAAGTACTTCATTCTAGCCGAGCTCTTTATATACATTATAAGCATTTAATGTGGTTGAGAATATACCCTTGCAGTATTCAACATATCTGTGTATGTGGCTTTTGCAGGCAGCATCACTGACAGTGGATTCCTGTTCTGAGGATCAGGAGCCAGGCTATTGCACTGTTAGCAATGTGGCTGTTTCCACTGACTGGTAAATAATTCTTCGTTTTTGGGGGTTTAGTTCTGTAAAATGAAAATGAACCGCCTGCTAAAATTGGAGAAGCTTGGAATAATGATTACGTGTCTTTAGCCCAGTCTCAGGGAAGGGATAGATGCCTAAGTCCTTTGGGAGGTCTAAAGAGGTAATTCTCTGAAGTGTCACTGCCTTGCATCCTTGTAGAAGCAGGTTAAATTTTCTCCATGTCCCACTGATTGCCTACTCAGGCTAAATTCCCATGTCCAAGGATTTTATTCAAAAATCCCCAATTCTCAGCTCCATCTCTGTTCCCAGGGTATGGGTGAACATAAGTAGCCAAATAAGAGGGTAGTCCACGCTGTAATGTAAATGAAGATAGTATTTTTTTAATGAATGTTGTGGGATTTCACATCAAAATCTAGACAAAATTAGTAATCAGACATTCATGATTACTGGCAACTTGTAAATCTTAATTAGAAAATGAAACAAATTTATGTGTTGTAATCAAATTGCTCTTAACTGTACTGCAATACTCTTGGACAGTTCAAAATTCTACAAAATTTAGTGCAACAAGGATTTAGCAAAACCTTTTCCACTTTTACTTGAGGAGTCTGTCTTGGTAAAAAAAAAAAAAGGCTTAGACTCAAAATACTATTACTTTAGTAGTGCCTACATTTCACTCCAGTATTGCTCACTCTGGGCTTTGATTTGTTTCCTTATTTTTTTGAATGTACCTATAGTTTCTTGTGAAGGTGTAAGAAACACACCTGCTTTTCTACTAGGAAAAATAAATAAATAAATACTTGAACCTTGAACAAATTTTTGTCTTTTTTTTTTCTGTTTCATTTCTTTAACATTGACCAGTATGGAGAACATTCTTTCTTTTCTTACCATAACTAGCTCAGAAGCTTTTCTGTCACTTCTTTTGATCCTCCTTAAAAATAGAAGTAACTTTAATTCCCATCATTGTTGCTAATTTCCTACAGTTATCATAATCATATATCCTAACATAGGTGGTTTCTCCACTAGTATAGTATATACAAATGCAGATATGTATCCACCTTCCAGCTGTTTAAATACAATCTATAATTTAAACCATAATTGAGTGAAAATCTGTATTCGTTTTGATTTCAAGCGCATTGCTCGATTAAGTGAATAGAAGTTTTGACATTCAACAACAGTGTGAATTTAGATGTCATAGGGACATCACTCTCTTTCCCCTTCTAAACGTACAATATGAATTTTGGAAGTGGAACTTTAGCTGCAGACCCTAGCTGACAGCTCCTTTGTTGTAACTACTATTTTATTTCTGATGTCGTTAAGCTTTTTTTTCTCTCTTTTGTAGGACCCTTGATGTACAACCAAATCGACTTACCGTTGGTGGTATCAGGTCTGTTGAGCCCATCCTTCAAAGGAGAGGACAGGTGGAAAGCCACGATTTTGTGGGCTGTATAATGGAGTTTGCAGTCAACGGACGTCCCCTGGAGCCCAGCCAGGCTTTGGCAGCTCAAGGAATCTTAGATCAGTATGTCTGCTATATATGGTATCGAATACACAGTATTTATGATATAGGAAGCCAGCATGAAACTCAGGCACCAGTCCTGACACTTTTAGATATTTCTTGTAAAAAATGACTGTAGAATTTATTATAAAGTGTGAAAAAATTAAGAAATGAATCTGGGTGAGAGATTCACAAAAGATTACGGAAACATCAAAAAAAGTAACATCATTACATTTCTGTTGCCAATTATTATTATTAATGTTACTTTGCAGGCTGAAAGAGTAGCCCTGTTTCTTTATAAATTCCACCTGGGTTTGATTGTACTACTATGGTTCACCAAACCTCTACTCCCCCTTATTTCTTTTTAATTCACAATGTCTGTTCTATCAATTTGCCTCTCAAGTATCACTGAATTTCACTCATATCCTCTGAGTGATCTTTCAGAAACAATCAGCTATTTGACTCTATTGTTTTTCCGTCTCTCTATTTGAAGCCACAATTGTAGCAACAATGTTGGTCTTAGGTCCAAATTTGGTAGCTCACCCTTCCTCTTTCCACCTCCAGTCTTCACTGTTTTTTGTGAAAAAAGTGAGGTCTCCAGAGATCTAAACCTAAAGAAGACACCTAAAAGAGTGTCTTCATCTCTTACATAACAGATAAGAGGAATTTCACTGCTTGTGAATTCCCTTCTCTTTATTAAGCCTGTTATAACTTGATTCTGAATGGTGGGATCTGTTTTGAACCATCAGCTGTCTGAGAGAAGAGCATCTCAATTTTTGCATCTCTTGAAGGGAAGAAAAGGGTTATCATTCAACCACACAATCCTTTCCAGCAAATTTGTTTTGCTTGTTTGTATGTGCATTCCTCAGTATCTGCTTTTCTGCATTGTTTCAGATGTCCTCGATTAGAAAGTGCTTGTACAACTAGCCCCTGCCAACATGGTGGCACCTGCACTGATCACTGGTCATGGCAGCAATGCCAATGCAAAGATGGACTGACGGGAGACCACTGTGAAAAATGTAGGGTTTTGCTTTCTTTCTTTTTCATCTACATCTAACTGTATGGTTATACCATTAAGAGTTTCTTTTCAGGGGCACAGGATAATGAATTTTATGAAATAATGAAAACAAGCAGCCTACTCGCCTCTTAAATAATCATGAAGGAAAAGTCCACAATGGACTTTTGTCCTTTCATAAGTTAGAAATAACATCAAGTAATATATATTAAGTTTCCTTGTCTTTATATCACATTTCAGGTAATTTACACTCATTTAAAACTACTGCTTCCAATCAGGTATAATCAGTAACCAAAATAAAGCTATCCAAAAGGAGGGATTTGTCTGCTGTGGAGAGGTAAGATTGAGAGTAAGAGGGAGAAGGCTTCCCTTTGCATAAACACAGTGTGCACATGCTTATGGCTTCTCTGTACTATAGACTTTTTTATCTAATAATCATCAAGTTATATGGCATATGTAAGTAAATGCAAGCCATTTACATTCTGGGATTATAAACTTGAGTATGGATAGCTCTATAAATCAGTACACAACTGTCTAGGAGAGCAAAGCAATTTATTTCCATATAGTGGTAGTATAATGACTGAATTTTGTTTTCTTACATGTCCCACTATTGTTTAGCTGATTTATATGCTTTTATTATGTCAGTTTACTAAATAATTTTGCCATGATTTTAACAGCATTTAGTAGTCAATGCTCTGCCATTTTTATTCTTTTACGCCCTTTTACAAATGGAAAGTCATTATCTCTGTCCTGAAGAGCTTGGAGTTCAATATATCATGAAACCCTGTTTGCAGTAATGGAAATAGTAACATCCCTGGGAAGGAATTATAGTTCTGAGTGCCAAATTTTTTTCTCCTACTCCCTCACTTGTTCCCTAGCGAGTTTTAATTTACTATTGACTGATACCAGCAGTAAATTGCTAGCACACTCCCACTCTCAAACACACATTCTGGTTCAAGCCAAAGAACAGAGGGGGGTGAAATTGCCATTCACTCCTGCTCTCCCCACTGACCTGCTCTGAACTTGATCTCCTCCCTGAAGAAAATTGTTGTTATCAGGCAGATCATCACTGTACTATATCTGCAACCAGCTGCAAACTAAGTGCTTCCCCCATCCTTGTCCCAGATGTTACTGCTGACACTGCCTTATCACTGGAAGGCAGAGGACGACTCGACTACCACATGAGCCCAAATAAGAAGCGTGAATACATGATGAGATACGTTGCTAGAGGTGCCAGCCCTGGACCTCTGAATGTGGACAGCTTGGAAGTGAAGTTCAGAACAAGAAGCGAGAATGGGATTTTAGTTCACATCCAGGAAAGCAGCAACTTCACTACTGTGAAGGTAAGATTGCAGTTAATGCTGAGTTTGATTTGATTGGTCTGCCTCTTGTACAGTGATCAAAATCATATTTTTCCATTACTCTTGCCGTTTCCTTTGTAAAATATTAGGTCTTTAACTAAGGCTAGGCACTGTGCCAGTATCATTCATCTTCTCTACAATTCCCTTGCTATTTGCCAAGGTATCAGAAGATCTTGATGGATTTGTATCTAAGGAGTTTTGTCTAGACTCCAAATAGTGACTGTTTTAAGGCAGAGGGTATGGTACTCATTGCCATATTTGTTATCATCATGAAGTTAGAATCTACAGAGCAAATAATTTCATTATTGGCTTTTTATCTTCTGATTTTTCAGACCTTGAACCTAGACCCTCCTTAAGCTGGCAAACAACAGCCAAAAAGTTTTCACAAATTCCTACTGATGTGGCTTGTGCTTATCAAACTAGGAAGTGAGGGATAACTTGACTTCATGAGGTTACCCACAAAGCAATGTCAATATCAAATTGTTTTTAGATATGTGGCTGAGCTAATGCTTCAAATGCCACGCAGTTTTCTTTCCCAAGAGTTTATTGCTGCAGAAGTTACCTTCCTCAAGAGAAAGCAATGGTTCAGTTCCCGGCGATGACTCAGTCCATTTACTCATAACTCTAAATGAGTACAGCAGTGATGCTGGCAAGCCCCTTTATTGGGTTGGTGTAAGCTCCAAGTTTCCTTGACTGCTGTAATGCTTTCCAAGTTTTTTTTTTCCCCTGACTTTAAAAGAAACTCATACAGAAATTCACACTTTCTAAGCTTCAGCCCCATTGATATTGTCCACCTGCCCAGTTCCTGCGTGGATCAGAGGCACAGAGCTTTCCTGTCCTCCGGCTACTTTTAAGAAGCAAGTCTGCACTACTTCGCAGGCATACACTTATAACCTATCATTTAATAGGGAGTTTCTGCCATATCACATTAGCTGGTAAAATCTAATTATTTTGTGTTCCAGAGGAAAACAAACAAACAAGAACAAGAAGACAAACAAAAAAAAAGAAAAATAATGAATATTACCTTTTTTTCTCTCTAGAGAAATTCATTATACTAGCTGTGAAATCTTTAATTAAAAAAGAAAAAAAAAAAGAAAAAAATAATTTTCTTTCTTAGATGAAAGTTTTACTGGTGTGTTTGTGCAAACACTCTTATTGTTGTTTGTTTTGGGGGAGTTATATAAATAAGCAGAGGGCATCATATCCCATCCCCAGGTGTTCAATGGCTAAGAACTCAAGTTTGCTCAGTAAAGGTCCGTTAAGGAAGGAGTGGTAACTTCACTGAAGTGATTATTACCAGAAAGTTCTCAGATGATGGTAGTTAATAAAACAGATCTTTTTAACTGTAGTTAGTACAATATAGATTCTACTCAACTCATACCCAGTATAGGTATCACGACGAGGTCATCCTGTGGTGGTGGCCCAAGATGTCAGTAAAGCTAGCCCACACGTCAGTCTCCCTGGCATCTCAGCCCACTCCCTGTGCAGTAAATGAGATTCGGAGACTTCTATTTACAATTCTTTTGATTGTCTTCAAAACAGACATTTTTATAACTTGAGTTTTGAATATTTTAATAAGCGTGTTTTCCAAGACATAAGCATTTGGAGAAAATCTGCATGTGGTTTTAAAATATTAAATTATGCTAGAGAAAAGCTATAAGCTCTGTGACTACCTCCGTGCCTCCACATTTTTCCGCATGTACTCAACTGGTTTTGTTACAGCTGGGACTGGGATAAAATTAGAGAAATGGCAATAAATCAGGCCTACTGAGATTGCAAGCAGCTGATTATTTAAATGATGGATGTAACCTTCCTTTAAAGAACCTCAAGCTAGGTGAAAAGAGGTCTTATTTATGATATTAAGGACTTCTTAATCCAGGAAAAATGTAAGAACTAGTAGATGAAATTAAAGAATAGTAAAAATCAAAAGGAAAATGTCCCTCAAAAAAAGCACAGAAAGGAAAATGGTAGGAGTCTCTTTACTACTAAAGCTTACTGTCTCAGCATATTTTCTAATGAGTAATGCATACTGCAACTAATTCAGTTAGAAGTAAGGAGACAAATACAGCAGGCTAAAGGTGAAATTACCTGTCCTGTTTTAGCTGAAAATCTCATCTGAAATCAGATTAGATTAACATAATTGCACCTCTAAGATCTGTGAATTGTATGAGTAGAGAATGTGGATTATGTATTGCCCATATATGCTAACGTATCCACATATCAAGTTACAGGAATAAATCAGAACATAGCTCATTTCAGTGGTATCCTATATAGTGAGCTATAAATCTGTACAGGCTAGTGCTCAAATTTAAAACAAGTAAGAAGCAATTTGCTCAGTAAAGTAGATTCAGAATGTTAGTAAAGTTGGATCAATCTTGTATTTAGAAATATGTTCGCTTTAGTAGCTCATTCTTTTCAGTATAACCCACTTGTCAGTTGCTCAGCCACTTAAATAAAACCTAGAAATGAGTGTTATTCAGTATTGTAAGCATTGACATTTGTTTCAAATTTAGAATTATGTTGTGCTTCAAGGAACGAAAAAGAGCATTCCTTATTTTTTCCTGATTAAAAAAGTCATGTCTCTGGAAATTTTATTTTTCTAAATACTTCTGGTATAATATTTATAGACATTGGTCACGTGCCATTTTAAAGAAATAAAGTAGCACTTCAGAGTCATAAATCAGTATGGTGGGTAAATAATTATACAATTCTTCTCCAATGTGGACTTAGAAAGACACAGGTCAATGTTTAGTATTCTCAAAGCTAAGAGGATACTGTTTATATATCAGTATATATACTATATACTGATATACTATATTCCTTTGCATTTTTGTAAAGACCTAAACACACAACAGTACTTTCACAGAGCATAAAGACCAAATAAAATGAACAAACCCATGAAAGCTTGTAAATGTAAATTAATATATATATTCCATGCAGTCTTTTCATAAATATTTTTCACTGTGGCAAATGGTGTTTAATATGTTCTGATCATCTGTGGCTGCATTTCCAAATATGGTTTTTTCTTCAGCCTGTGTCACAGTTTAGATGTCTGCCACCTGTATTTGCCAACACCAAAAGCATCCTGTCTTTAAGGGCGGATCTTTATCAAAGAATATTTAAACAGTACATTTTGAAGTAGTCCAAATCATGCTGGTTATAAGCAAAATTCACATATAAATTAACCACTGTTTTTCTTGATCCAAATGGACTTTGCGCTAGATGTGTTCAGTTCAGGCTGCTGACAGAACATGAGTGTGGTTTTTCAGACATATTAAAGCTGATCTTTACGAAGAAAGTCCTCATTTTGTATCACTAAAAAAAAAAAAAAGGAAATCTAGAGCACTGAACAGTTTCTAGAAACTAGAAGAGAATTCTTGTGTCCATGTGTCTCCTCACAGTTCTTCTCAGATTAATGTTATATTTTCTGGAACAAAGCACTCAAGGCTTAGAGAGCTTTCAACAAACCTGTGGCTCTGACAGCTCCTATACAATGCTTGTGCACCTTCTACACACTGCACATCACAGCAAGGAACACAGAAGGGGAAAGGAGTGGTCCTATGATGAATATGCAAAGTAACAGAGATGAGTATTGATGGGAATCTGCAACAACTCACAGAGCTACCCTATAAACTGTCTTTGTTATTTCTGACACCCTACATAAAGCTTACAAGTTGGTACAGTGCTCAGGAGATCAGGTGACATACACAGGTCCTACGCAGCATTTGAGAATTTTCTGGGCTTGGTTATGGATTTTTTTTTCACTCTTTTATCTTAAATGTAAAATTTGTACTAATCTCTCTTTGGGATTGCTTAACACTCAATTCATAAGAGGTTTAACATTCTTCATCTCATGAATGTAGCGTCATCTGTTGAGGAAAAGCCAAAATGTGTTTCAGAGTCTTCAATAGTACATTTTTTTTCTAATAGCTCATAAGCTTAAAATCAGTTTTCTTAAGTAAGCATCATTTGAAAATTCACAGAAAATAATAGACTTCACAGGCCTCTTGTAAAATTTCTAAAATAGAAATACTTTTCTGCAGAATGCAATTTACCAGCAGAACCAGTTGGGAAATTGGAATCTTGCTCAAATTCTGTCATACATTTTCCTACTGTGTCATAACTAGTTGCAAGTTTTTGGGGCAAGGACAGCATCTGTTTATTCTGCAAAGCATTTTCTCCACTTGAGAAGGAAGAGTTTGTCTTTATTGGTTAAAATATTTTGTCATGTGCATACCCTCCCTACTGCTAGTTTCTCAATAGGTTTTCCTCTTATGAGAGTATCCAAGGAATGAGTGGATGGCAAGTGCATATTTTCTACAGATGTAGTAATGAATCTAATTGCAACCAAGTACTAAATAATGTATGCATTTTAGTATCAAACAGTTGTTTGGGGAAAAATACATTCATACATTTTACTGCAACCAAAGCCATGTGTTACTGTAGCTGTACTGGATAAGCACAATGTTGTGTATGTGGGGGCAAAAAGTTGAGTCTGTAACTATCATTTTAAAATGATGCATTTTGTTGTTGTTGTTGTTGTTGTTTTTTTTTCTGATCAGATAAGAGCTGGGAAAGTGCACTACATATCTGATGCTGGAATTGCTGGGAAAGTGGAAAGAAACATTCCAGAAGTGTACACAGCAGATGGGCAGTGGCATTCAGTACGCATTGAGAAGAACGGCTCTATCACTGTCCTGTCCGTTGACAAGACTTATAGACGAGACATTCTCCATGTCACACAGGATTTTGGTGGACTAGACGTTCTTACAATATCTTTGGGAGGTATCCCACCAAACCAGCCTTTCAAGAGCACAGTTGCAGGTAATTCATTTTTCTTTTTTATATATTGCGCATCAGCACATTTGAGCAGACAAAGGGTGTCTGCTTGCTTTAAGGTTGCAAAAAGTACTGTAATTCTATATCAGTAACTAATACACTTCTACACTTTGCCAGGAAAGCTGTAATTTGAATGGGTAAGGATTGCAAATTTTTTTCCTCTAACACAAATTTGTTGTTTTCAAAAAGCAGCATTCCATCTGAAGGGCTTTTTGGAGGCACAGGGTGGGTTTGCTTGATTGTATGCATTGTTATGAATTTGTTATGCTCATGGAGAAGAAAGGATCCATTCTTTACCTGAGTCAGAATCTGGAAAATCAAGGCAAACCTACTCAGGCAAAAGTTCTAAATGAGTTCATTGTCTCTGTAGGGGTTCAGTAAATGCTGTAGGATTTAGTCTGTTATTAATATGATTAAAATGTTTTCTGAAATTCCATCTTCCTCCTCCTTTATCCTGCTGTCAAATGAAGGATTGTTTTTTTGTTTGGTTGGTTTTTATTTGTTTGTCTTCTGAACAACAGAAACTAAAGACAATAAAAAACACTCTATGACCAACATCTATCTTGTAAGGAGTAAATCAGTCTTAAAAGTTGAAGCAGTGTCTCTTAGACCCTGGCAAAATAAATAATGTATACTGTATAAAATTCCCCCAGTAATAAGTAAAGATGGAAGTGATTTTTTGCTAGAAACTGAGATATTCCAGACAATGCAGGAATAGGTTTCACAAGATTTTATATTAAAAAAATTGTCCTGACTTCAAGAAATGTGACCAGATAAAGTAACTTTAAAAGTGCAAATTAATGCTTCACACTTGTGTATTGTGAACTTGTTTGAAATGTAGTCTGAAACAATTTGAATGCTATGCTTACTTTTACCCTTTTTACACATACATTTTATGAGCAGTGTCTGCATGGAAAAGCCAAAGAGGCTTTAGGAAAGCTGGAACAAAGCCAATTGAGGACACTAACTTCTCACCCACCTCCTGATGTGGCAGCACAGAAATTGTGAATGTCTGGCTTCCTCTAGGAATGTACAATCCAAAATCTCATGTTCATATGATTTTTTTTTTTTTTTAAATACTGGATTATATTGTGTATGACATACCAAGGATTTACAAGGGGGAGATATAAAACTCTACATGAACTCAGATGGCCAAGAAATATCTGGAGCAGTGTGAATGGCTGTTAAAGGCAGACAGAAACATACACGGGTGACAATTCCAGGGCTGTGAAGCTGGTATAACCAATATTGTTTTCAAACCCGGGTAGACATGATGAAATCCCAGTTGCTGTGTATCACATCGCTGCTGAAAAGGACCACCAAGCATGAGGCAAGCTAATCCTCCATTTTGCTTGGTCTCCCACCTGAACTTAAATCCTCAATTTCCTCTTTTTTCAGGAATGTAAAAACAGGAGAAAATGAAAATATAAGTAATGCTGAAACAAGATCAGCTCTTTCAGAATGCATACATGTAATACAGAAATAGCATGCTTGTAAAACTTAGAAGAACTTTCATGTCCCTTTACACCATATGAGTTACATCTCTCAGCAAAGCTTTTCTGACATAGGTTCCCAATCATTTTCATTTCTGACATCAGAGAGCATTCAAATTTTAAAATTAATATCCTTTCAAGGTTATAAATTCGTAACAGAACTTCATACAACTTCAATATATTAGATATTTCAAGAGAATCTGTAGTCTTGATGCTTTAACCATTGCATTGCATTAACCATTTTTATGGAGATGTCCACAATTATTCATTATCTTATTATTCATAACAGGTATTCTTCCATTCCAGCAGTATATTTGCAGAAATTAAACCTTCTCCAAAGCTAATGATGCAGGGGACATTTGCTCCATTTTATTGTTTCATTCAAGTGTGATGCTTCAGGACAGAGTAGAAGCACTTTCCTGCTCCTTGTAGATTGTATCTCTTGCATTATATCTGATAAATTTGGTCTTAATTATAGTTTTCCCGTAAGCCTGGCACTATGTTGGCATCTGAAGGACCATCCCTCAGGAGTTAAGGAGAAATAAATATGTTTCTTACAATAACTATGCATGTCATACCTGGGAACATAATTTACAAACAACCCTATGCGTACCATTTTGTCACAGCTCTGAGCAAAGGTCAGCATTTGCAGAAAGGAGTAGATCTATGGAACACAGAGAACTGTTAGGCTAGCAAAAGACCTCACACAGAACTGCACAAAGGCCAGGGATAATCCATCTCTATGGTCTCTTACAGCTCTGAAATAATGTATTATCCCTGACAGGATAGTGCTACAGCCACTCTGTGGGAATTTCGGGAAGAGCTCTCCTTAGATTTAGAGTCATACAGTTATTGCTATGAGCACCTCCTTTGTAGCACAGCAGGACAGGATACTGCACTGAACCTCTACAGGCAACTTCAGAAAGCAGGAAACTAGAAAGAATGCAAGCAAAGGGAAATCACTTATAATGTTTTGTGCTAGGACAGCCTAGCCAGGTGTGAACAGGTTTCTCTACATGTGGATTATAAGAAGTTATAGAAATATGGGAAAATTAGGAATGGAAAAAGTATATTGAGTGAGATCATTAGAAGGAATATTTGTTCAAAATCATGTGAAAGACATTAAAACTATTAGAATAGGTGTTTCTCTATAGTAACCTTTGGAGTTTTGGTTTATTTACTGAACAGTGGGGCTTTTCATATAGCTTTAATGAAATGGGACTGTGAATTGACAATTAATTGAGTTACTTTAACAATATATTTTTAGAAGATATGATGTTTCTATAAAATCCAGAGATACATTGCTTAGTATTTTGGCAAAATGGTTACTTAATATTTTTGCAAAATAATTTTACTTCAAGGGGAAACTTCATTACAGTAAAAATCTGAGAATGTAGCCTTCAGACTTCCTTTGATGAGCCTATCTGTAGGGAAGGGAAAGGTATAGGTGCAAAAGTATCAATTTGCATTGCAAACCTCAGATCTAAGCCAGTGAGTGATGAAGAATTTTTTCTTTCCATTTTATATTATGTTTTCTTCTTGATTTGACCTTTATTGCCAATTTCCAAGCTTGTAGTATATACTTCCTAATCAAGCAGTAGTTCCCCCTCTTGTGCAGCCTGTAATCCTTAGAAGTCATGTAAATTTTTCAAATTGTATTCAGGCTTCTGCTTGCATTTGCCTGTTCTTACAAATTTAATGAAAGCAGTGGGAGTACAAAATGTTTTGAAGAGCTTCTAGAAAATATAGCGTGTGTATTTCAGCATTTTAATTGCAGATTTGGATACACTGATTCACCTGAGAATACTTCTATTGCTTTGAAATCTTAGTATTGAAGTTAAAAGCCACAGCTTCTGAATTCTGTTGTGGCAGACTTAAAAAAAAAAAAAAAAAATTCTTCTTGCATCTTTTTAGCATTTAGATGTGCCATGTATATATCATCAAAGACAATTTCTTGTCTTTATTCTCCATTTTTATGCACAGCTTATGAAAATCATTTGTCTTAAAAGGTGCAGGTATAAAAGTTATGTCAAAAGCTCTGGTCATAAACAGCTTTTTCTTAACCTTGTTGTGCTTAGAAATCCCAAAGTGACTGCTGTTTTTCTCTCTTAGGCTTTGACGGCTGCATTTCTTACATCAAGTATGGTGGGGAGAGCCTTCCCTTCACTGGCAAGCACAGCCTGGCCACCCTTTCCAAAACAGACCCCTCAGTCAAGATGGGCTGCCGTGGCCCCAACATCTGTGCTAGCAGTCCCTGCTGGGGCGAGCTGATGTGCATCAACCAGTGGTACACCTATCAGTGTGTCCCACCAGGTGCTTGTGCCTCCAGCCCCTGCCAAAATGGTGGCAGCTGCGAGCCTGGGTCACAGGCCAGCTTCACCTGCAGCTGCCCTGAGTCGTACATGGGACAGAGGTGTGAAATTGTGGTGGCATGCCTGGGGGTCTCCTGTGGCCCTGGTCACGTCTGCAGAGCGGGGCCCAGCAGCGGCTATGTGTGCTTGCCATCCCCGCACCCTGCTGAGTTGTCCCTGCCCCTCTGGGCTGTGCCGGCAATTGTGGGCGGTTGTGCAACAGTGCTGGCCCTGCTGGTCCTCAGCCTCATTCTCTGCAACCAATGCCGGGGGAAGAAGTCAAAGGCCCCAAAGCAGGAGAAGAAAACAAAGGAGAAAAAGAAGAAAGGGAGTGAGAATGTGGCATTTGACGACCCTGACAACATCCCGCCTTATGGTGATGACATGACAGTCAGGAAGCAGCCCGAGGGGAACCCCAAACCTGATATCATAGAAAGAGAAAACCCCTATCTCATCTATGATGAGACTGACATCCCGCATGCCACAGAGACCATTCCCAGTGCTCCACTGGCTTCACCTGAGCCCGAGATCGAGCACTATGACATTGACAACGCCAGCAGTATCGCTCCCTCAGATGCCGACATCATCCAGCACTACAAGCAGTTTCGGAGCCATACACCCAAGTTCTCCATCCAGAGGCACAGCCCACTGGGCTTTGCCCGGCAGTCCCCCATGCCACTGGGAGCCAGTAGCCTCACGTACCAGCCCTCTTATGGGCAGGGCTTGAGGACAACATCTTTAAGCCACTCAGCCTGCCCTACTCCTAACCCTCTGTCTCGGCATAGCCCTGCACCTTTCTCCAAGTCATCGACTTTCTACAGGCACAGTCCAGCCCGGGAGCTGCACCTGTCCATACGGGAAGGGAGCCCACTGGAGATGCACAATGATGTCTGCCAGCCCGGCATTTTCAACTATGCCACTCGGCTGGGGAGGAGAAGTAAGAGTCCACAGACCATGGCGAGCCATGGTTCCCGGCCAGGCAGCCGCCTGAAGCAGCCCATTGGTCAGATTCCACTGGAGACTGCTCCTCCAGTGGGACTGTCCATTGAAGAGGTGGAGAGACTGAACACCCCACGCCCCAGAAACCCCAGCATCTGTAGTGCTGACCATGGCCGGTCCTCTTCTGAGGAGGACTGCAGAAGGCCCCTGTCTCGGACAAGGAACCCGGCTGATGGCATTCCTGCACCTGAGTCCTCCTCCGACAGCGACTCCCACGAGTCCTTCACGTGCTCAGAGATGGAGTACGACAGGGATAAGCCCATTGCATACACCTCCAGGATGCCCAAATTATCCCAGGTCAATGAGTCTGATGCAGATGATGAGGACAACTATGGGGTGAGGCTGAAGCCCCGGCGGTACCCTGGCCGTCGTGGGGAGGGTGGGCCCGTGGGAGCACAGGCGGTCAGCACTGGGGAGAACTCCCTGCCCATGAAGCTGGGGCAGCAGGCAGGAAGCTTCAACTGGGACAACCTCTTGAACTGGGGCCCAGGCTTTGGGCATTATGTGGATGTTTTCAAGGATTTGGCATCACTTCCTGAAAAAACAGCAGCAGCAGCAGCAGCAGCAGCAGCAGTGAGTGAAGACAACAAAGGTGGTACAACAAAGCCTGTTTCCAAGGAGGGGGAAGCAGAACAGTATGTATAGGCTTTGTCTCTGGCATTGCCGCAGTGCAAGGCCACGGAATGGTCAGACTGTTGTGTGGTTGTAGAGAAGGAAAGGTCAGCATTCGCACCCCAGGCCAGTTTGGTTCGAGGAGACTTTAAAAATAATAACCATTATGCTGCTGAAAGAGACTTAAAACACTTTTAATTTAATTATGATTGGATGAATTTATTTCTCCTGCATGCATTGTATTTGGAAACAAGATATTTGGCATGCAGTTTTTAAAAAGGGTTTCCTATTTACCATTGTTTGGTTTGTGATTCTTAAATTAATAATGCTTTGTTCTGAAAATGAACTAATTTTTTTGTTTAATTGTGAAGGATGTGTATATTGTATCCAGCTACTAATGTGTTTTACAATGCAAAAGTATTGAGGATTTAATTTTCCTTAAGAAGTGCATGGAAGAAGGATGATGAATGAAGGAATTACAGTAGCAAGTTGTCTCATAAAATGTACTCACTATATCCTGCAATTGCTCAAACATAAAGATTATGGAAGAAATCAGCTTGAGTAATTGCTGGCAACAGTGCTGTAAGTCGTATTCCATACAAGAGGTGCTAGAAGCAGCTCAAGCTGGTCAGCACTTTAAGAGTTGTTTTCAGCTTGTTAATTTGTTTGTTCGGGGGCTTTTCTGTCTTTGGGGATTTTTTTTTTTTTTTTTTTTTTTTTTTTTTTTGACAAAGTTGTGTGAGAGCTTCTGAATCTCTATGATGTATTTGGGGATGCTAAACCCTGGTCCCTGCCTGCTCCCCCTCAGTGCTTCCAGTGGGAGGGGAGTGTTGGCGTCAGGAAAAAACTCCATTTCCACATCTCTTGGCATTGCAACTCGGCTGTGCAGCTGCTGCAGCCTGCATTTCTCCCTATCTTTCATTTTCCATCTGTTCTATGGAAAGGTAGTAATAACACTTACTCACCTACCTCACGGGGGTGTTGTGAGGACTAATTAGTTAACTCATCTGAAGTGCTTAGACATTATAAAGCACTATAATAAGTATTATCATAATTATTATTAAAGCACTGCCTAGCCTTTGTGACCCTGGAGTGGCATTTTCTGCATTATATGATTTTCTATGATGAAAACTTTGAATAATTATTTATTGTATAGAAAATTACTGCACTCTAGCATTTTGAAGCGGATATGAGGGAAAACTACTTGTAGACTCATTAAAGTAGCTTACTGTTTGTCCCAAATTCCCTAAAGTTTTATGTTAAGTAGAACTTCACAAAGTCCTTACATCTTCATGCAAATCTGATGAACCTATCGTACTGTGTAAAAAACTTCCAATTTTTTTTTTTTTTTTTTACCTAAGCTGTGTTTTTTATATCAATATTTTCCTATGCTGAATAATTTTCTTACTTTCAGGGAAGGTAAGAAAAATACCTTTTTTACATTTGTTACTTATGTAACATCCATATTTTTCACATTTTGATAAAATTGTAACATACTGTATGCTTTCTACCTGTAAATGCCAATAATAGAATTAAAATATTTATTTAAAATCTTTAGTAGGCATTATTGGAATTGTTTCATCTTTTCTCTCTCTATCTTTTACTTCTTGATCTTCACTTTTATTAACTTTTTTTTTCAGAAAATGGACTTTAAGAAGCAAGTTAGTAGTGTAATACACACTCAGTACACATTCAGAGTTCAGTTATGGTGAAAGCAGCACAAGTATCACTGTGGAAATTAAATTCTTTTCTCTGCAGAAGGGCAGCACAAGCCCAGTGTGCTTCTTGAGGTACCGCCAAGTCTCATACGTCTGTTCCTTACTAAGTAACAAATTTTACCAAGGATGAGAGAAGCAGTCCACCTATCCACCTTATTTGTCATGAGTGACCTTGATTTGTTCAAAATTAGCAGGTTTCACAATTCTCAGGGAAATGGAGAGGAGCTATTGTGGGGCACTGTGACATTGCTGGACCTGAGGTCATGTCAAGTCGTACCAAGTTTACTTTCAGATGACAAAGCTGTATTTTTGTGCATAGAAGACTATTAGTAGCAACTGGTCTTGCATTTGTTAACCAAGACTTCCAATTCAATTCAAATCAGGGTCTTTCCAGTATGTAGATAGCTGGAAGTGAGAGAACAAGATTCATCTTTAAGAAAGCAGCAGCGGAGTAATAAATAGCTGCATTTTTGTATGTTTATAAAAGACTAAATCAGCTTAGACAACTTTTGGAGAATGCAAACAGTGAGAAAGTTTACATGCAAGAGGTGAGTTAAAATTTTTATTGTATTGATGGTATTTTGTTAAAAGAACTTAGAAAAAGATTAACAAAATTTCTTATTTGTTAATTGTTAATTGTTTCATTTTTTGTTAGCTTACCTTGAAACCAGCAAGGAGAAATTAACACCCTCTTTAGCTAAAAATGCTGCCAACTTTCATCTTGCTTCACAATGGTGAAAAGATAATAGGGCAAAGTCGCACACATTTGTATATAAGTAGTTTCTTCTGAAATAACAAGAGATCCACAAATGATTTCTAAGTTTTAGTAGCTGCTGTAATTAAACATCTGTTAAAAAGCTGTATGTTTATTTGGAATATTATCCTTTAATTTAGAGTGTACCACATCCAAGCAGTGAGTTTAATAACTCATGAAAACTTTAACAAATGAAATCTGTTAAATATAACACCAAAAGTACTGAGAACTGCAATATGCCAGTTAAATATTCTGAGATTATTAAAGAAAATATTAAATGAAAATAGTATGTAATGTGGCCTTACACAAAATTTGTCGTACCTTTAAATGCAGTTTGCAGTATACTGAGTTGTGGTGCAGTCTAAATGTTGACACTTTCTATGATGAAGAAAATTATATATTTTGCTATTTCTTTGTTTCCCCATTTCTTAAAAGCACAGAGTTCTTTTTTATTCAGAAATGTATTCGTTTCCATCTCAATTCCTTCATTATGAGAATCAGAAAAGGGGTCCAAGTGAGTCATGTGAAACAGTCATCCAAAACTGTCTTGAGGAATGAGCTGCCTAATTCCCCTGCTTCATCATTTGAACTACATGGTCCTGTTTCAAAATCTAGGACATTATAAATCACATATCAGGAAAGGAAAACAGTCTGCATTGTTCACTTCCCTGGAGCCTTCCAATATACCTTATGTCAGCAATAAGGCTTTAATTGACCAGCCTTTCTAAAGTCAAACAAGATTGTAATGTGGTTACAATTGCACTCTAGCTTGACTGTTTGTGGGAGATGGTTACTGCTTTCTGCTGATCGGCTGGGCAGAGCAAGACCTATTAATGGATGTTGTACATACATTACTCTAGGTGTGACATCTCCACATTTGCAAGATTGAAAACTTGTTATTTAAGCATACTTTAAATATTGTATTCTTACATCTAAGATATTTAAGCAATTTTCAAATATTAATAAAAGATTTTTCAGTGAGGACTGAACTACTCTTTAGAATAATTGAAAAACAAAATGGCTACACTGTAAAAAGAGTGCATAACATAACCCTTGCAGGTAAGGAAAAGTACTCCTTATATCTCCCTATTTCTCCTTGTTAATCACCCTTCCAAAGACTGAGTTAAATGTTGTAATCATTCCTCTTTCTTCAACTCTGTGTCTTTTTAAATAATGTCCTTCCCGTGTCTCCCCATAAAGCTCTGAGAGTATGCTCATGTGGTGGTGATGAAGCGCTCTGTGCAGCCAGCCTTGTGAGAAGCCAGGACAGGACAGAGCACCTCTTTTGCACAAGACTCTAAGCCCCTCAAGCATGGGGGATCAGGACTGGAGCTGCCATCACAGCTCCACATAAACTAACATAGGCTGAGGCATTGGAGATTTGTTTGGTTTTCTGGGAGGTGTAGAATTACTGTGTTTATATTCCCACTGCTTGTTCCCACTAGCAGATTGCAAAGGCACACTCTGGCTTCTTTCCCATGGGAAGGAACTGTGCCACTGCCCAGCTTCTTCTACAAAACTAGAGTTGATCTGCCATTGGTGTCTCAGACGGGGATGTTTTCGCATAATGACTAATCAGATAGTCAGGAATATGTCAGATTTACTTAGCACTTTCTTCTATACCTGTGAAAATGAAAACAATTATCTTAAAATTCTGTAATTTCTGGTGGGGTCCTCAACTATTAAAAGATGTGAAATCTAAATTTGTCTGATTCAAAACTTTCAAATATTTTTCATCAGATGTGTAATTAAAAAAAAAACAAACACCACCAACAACAAACCAAACAAAACACAAAAATAACAGGTACAATACTTGACCAAGTAACAGAAAGTCCCACATTCTTCTAGTGAAAACATTCCATGTCAACAAGTTGATTATGAGTTGATTATGACTGCTGCCCACAGCTCAGAAAGTATTGGTTAGCAGTGTGAAATACAGCTTGTGATGTATTATTCCAGTTTGGAAATGAGAAGTCTTAGGGTAAGGAGGGGTTAGAAATCTCACAGATGCATTCAACAAAAGAAGATGGAACCAGATATGTCTTAGAAGTTTACAGCAAAAGGACTAGAACTACCAGTGGCAGAAAGGTAAATTCCTGTTGAATATAAGGAAAATTATTCTGGCAGTGGGAATGGTTTTAGTTGCTGCAAGGGATTGCTTAGTGGTGTTGTCCCTGGAAATACTTGAAACTTGCTTGGACTGTGTGCCAGGAAACTTCATCCAACTTATTGCTGGTGTTACTTCGTCCGGGGAATTGGTCCACGTGACCTTCAGATGTCTCTTCTAACTTGAACCATCCAGTGATTCCAGGTAAGTCCAACACTCATCAATTCCCCTTCTGATTGTTACAAAAGTCAGTTAAGACACACTGGCCTGGGTCACCAGCCATCTTTTAGTACCAAAACATTTGAAGGTCTGTTCATCAGAGGTGCAAATGAGGAGTACAAATAACTATTTTGTACCAGATAGTACATGAGGAATACCTTGAGATCAGATATATTTTTTGCCAGCCAACTCCTACAGGTGATAATCTGGAGTGCCCTTAAGATGACAGGATATACCATGTGCTTTTACTGTATGTAATGATCACCTCCTGTGCCACCTTGAGAGTAATGTCTTTTTTACTGTATTGTAGGTTATATTTCTTAAGTATAAAATTCAAACTATAATTTTATCCTTTGGTGTATTTTAAAATGTTGTAATGTAAAAGGCACTTCCTTAACAGAAATCCATTGGAGGCTTCTAATTAATCTTTTATGTTTAAAACTGGGGGGGATAATGAGGAGAAAAAGAGGAATCAGTAAAATATTGCCATTTTAGAATTGAGGGAAGAAGAATGTGAACATGTTGCTCTCTCTGCTTTCTCTTGTGAGTGTTTTGTTGTTCACACTTTTATGCTCTTCCATGTCCATCTACGTATTCTTTTAACAATCATTCCTGTGTTCTTTGAAGTCAGTGTTTTGTTCATCCCAATATCCTCACTTTGGTTCCCTATAAGTGGCACTTAAGGAAGGTGACTGATAGCATGTAATCAGGTAATCAGGTTGTTGGTGAACATCACTGCCTTGTTTCAAATATTTGGATATTTGCACAAAATTTGCCACTCCTATACTGTGTATGAACATCACGTTCATTAAGTCAAGCCTTATACAACCCATAAAGTAAACCTATCCAAGGTTTACTGTAGTTGGGTCCCTAGCCATTTTTATAGCCTTC